GGTGGGGGTGGAGACCATTGCTGGCTACCAGCAGACATTCCCACCCCCTTGTTCCTTGCCACCTCCCTATAAAGCAGCTGAAAAGGCCTGACACTTGATTTCCCAGCCTCCCTTGCAGCTAAAGGTGACCACGAGACCCACTTCTGGACAATGAGAAGTAGGGGGAAATCTGCTGGGGGCTTCTAAGAAAGATTTTCCTCCTTGATAAAGGTGACAGGCACATAGAGAGACCCCTTTTCCATCCCCCCTTCTTCCTGCCTGAGGCGCTGCCCTGTGAGAATATGGTGTTTGGTCCTATCGTAGCCATCTTAACCCATCGTGGGAAGCCAGGCAGACGCATTGAGTGTATTAGTTATCTATTGCCGCGTAACAAATAACCCCCAAATGTAGCGCTTTCAAGCAATAAATGTATTATCTCACACAATTTCTGAGGGTCAGGAACCTGAAAATGGCTTAGCTGGGTGGTTCTGGCTTCTCTCATGACGTTGCGTTCAAGCTCACAGCCAGGGCTGCAATCACCTCAAGGCTCATTGGAGCTGAAAATCCACTTGCATCTCACTGTCATGGTTGCGGGCATCTGTTCTCAGTTGGCTGTTGGTAGAAATCCCCACCTCAGTGCCTCACCACAAGGGCCTCTCCACTGGGCTGCTCACGGGTTGGCAGCTTGCTCTTCCCAGAGTGTAGGATGCAAGAGAGTTAGTGAGAGAAAGAGAGAGAGATAGAAAGAGAGAGAGAGGGAGGGAGAGAGAGTGTGTGACCACAAGATGGAAGCTGCGGTCTTTTATAACTTAATCTCAGAAGTGATGCCAACATCTCTGCCACGTTCTATTGGTCACATAGACCAAGCCTGGTAAAGTGTAGGAAGGGTGAGAATACCAGCAGGTGGGGATTATTGAGGGCCAATTTGGAGGCTGGCCAAGGCACTGAGGACAGCACAAGAGAAAGCGAGAAAGAGCCTGCGTCCTTAAGGAGACTGTTGGGTGACTGCACCCACCCCCAGATCATTTTCTGCACCTTCCGGT